GAAGAAAAGTCCATGACTGAGGTTGAAAAAAAAACATTTGAGGTTTGACAGGAAAGCTGTGGGTCAAAGGAGGGTGAGATGTCTGGCTGGGGGCAGGAGAGGAGGAAGATGATCTTGTTCCTGAGCTGAACCTGTTGAAGAATGTGTTCAGCTCATTTGCTCTGTCCAGACTTCCATCCATCCYATTCTCCTTTTGCTTGAAACCTGTGATCGTCTTCATCCCCGACCACACACCTCTGATATTCCTTTTCAGTTTACTCTCCAGCTTCCTTCTATAAACCTCCTTGCTGTCTCTGATCTTGACTTTGAGCTGCTTCTGTATACTCCTCAATAACTCCCTGTCTCGATCCCTAAAGGCTCTTTTTTCTTGTTTAACAGTTCCTTTAGCTCACTGGTGATCCACTGGTGGTCCTTTGGGGCTTCCGTAGTTCGGAGGTCTGTAGTTAGGTTTCACCCCGCCCGTCCCGTCCCTCAAGACACAGACAATATGGACGCTAGCAAAGAGGAACTAGTTCCCAAAAAAGGCAGCGACACGCTGCCTTTTTTGGGAACTAGTTATCAGTTATCTGGAACTGGTTCGGTTTTGCAACCGTGGTCTCGGAGCAGCAAACAGCTTGCTGCAAAATCTGTTTGAAGGCTGTTGCTACCAAAAGCGGGAGTACAAAAACTTGTTTCAACACCTCAAACAGAAGCGCTCTGTGGAGTGGGAGAAATGCTGCTCTTCATGACAAACTCAAGCTAGCAGCAGCCCAAAAAGCAGCACCGCCAAAAGACAAGCTACCTTAGGGGAATTATTTTCAAACTGCATTCCCTACGAAAAGACGAGTGCCCGGTGGACAGCCATCACAGATGCTGTCACGTTTTACATCGCAAAAGATATGGTGCCTATTTATACAGTGGAAAAACCCGGCTTTATTCAGCTGCTGAAAACTTTGGACGCCAGGTATGTGCTACCTAGCCGCAAATATTTCGCCGAAGCTTCCTTGCCACACCTTTACAACAACACGCGTGAAAAGATATCGAACATGCTGGAAGATGTGCGGGTTTTTTTCGGCAACAATGGACTTATGGTCCAGTCGAACAATGGAGCCGTATGAGTTTAACAGCGCATTTTGTTGACAAAAGCTGGGCTCTACAAAGTATCTGTCTGCAAACGGCTTACTTTCCTGATGATCACAAAAGTGAAGTAAWCGCAGAGGGACTAAAAGAAGCTCTGAGCTCCTGGAACCTTCCTGAAGACCGACTCGTCTGTATGACAGCAGACAGTGGTACAAACATTAAAGCTCTGAAAGACACCGGGTGGCCAAACCTCCAGTGCTTTGGTCATAAACTACGTAATACCATAGGTAAGAATCTAATCCATTTATTGTCTTTTTTATATTATTTGCATTCATCATGAGGGTCTATGTAACATGAGTGAGTATGTTAAGAATCATTAATAATTAAATTTTT